GTGAGGGGGTTGGGGGTGGGGGGGTGGCTACTGGTTTGGCTAGGAAGGGGCCCTGTTTGTAGCATGAGTAGGTGGCAGTCCCCTTTGTAAGATGTGTGGGCATCATTTCTTTCTCCCAACACTTCCTGGCTATACCCATCTTGGTGCCCGGAATCCCACCCTTGATTCCCAAAACTTTCAGAATCCCCTCTGTTCAATGGGAATACCTTAGTTACCTCATACCACTGCCAAGAAGGAAGTGAACTCACACCAAATATGCCCCAGTGGCTGTCTGTGAGGTCCTTTCCAATGTGACTTCACTAGGTCTTCCTACCACTCAGTGAGTAGCTATTATTTTATAGCTGAGTAAACTTAAGTTCACACAGACCAAGTAATTGAATCAAGGCCATAGAGCCAGTAAGTAAGTGGCAGACCAGGGGCTGGGCAAGCTCTTTACCCTTTGGCCATGCTATGGGAGACCAGGTAGTGTGGTGGGTGAGGGGTAAGGGTGAAGTCACAGGTCCTGAGCTGGGAGAATGGAGACCTGGGTTTGTGCCTCAGATATGAGACTTTGTGGGGACACCTGGGAGTATTCTCTGGGTTTTTGTGTCCAGCAAGTTCCACCTGAAGTATAAAGGCACATGTGTTCAGGCTCTCCCATATACTCCCTCATCCAGGCCCATAGAGGATACAGGGGCCTCTACTTGGCTAGAGTCTTCTTTCTCCCTCTCCTTTTCACTGTCTCTCACCTCCCTTCCATTATTAGTGATTTTGAGTCTCACCTCTCAGCCTGTCTATTCACCACTTAGCAGTTCTTCCTCCTTAGCCTCCCCCTTCACCCCCCACCCCCCCACCCCCACTACCCTGGCGTTCTCTTAATCCACACCCCAACATCCATCCTGGATCATCACGCCAGCCTCCCCTCTGGTCTCCCTACCTCCCTCCACACTGTGACATCAGCAACATACACACATTTGAAACTCAGAAGGTGCCTGGTGCCTACAGCACAGAGCATACCAGGTTCTCGTAGGCAGGGCAGGCCTCAGGCAAGAAATTCATCTGGACATAAACCTTCTTTTCTACCCCAGCCAGGGTATCTCACCTTCCTCAGAAATTGTCCCTTCATGTCCTCATCAAAGCCAAAGCACTCTCTAAGCCCTTGTCCCTTCTGCATGTGTAGTGGGGAGACAGAAAAAGGTGACCCCGATTCAGTGTTGAAATGGTCCATCCCCCAGCAAAATCCTTTCTTCCTGGGGTACCAGGGTCATCTTTAAATATGTAAATCCTCTCCCTGACGCCCTCTAGTGGCTTCCCGACACAGTGAAATCCAAACTCCTTGCTCTGTTCGGGGCAGCCTGCCTCCTGGATCCCATCAAACACTGATTCATCTCAAGGATCTCCTTTCTGCTCCTCAGACACAAATCACCCTTTGACATGAGCTACCCTCACTTCTGGGAATGGTCTATTTTTATTGTCTATCACATGGCCCTCTTTTAAGCTTCACACAGCATTGTTTGTTTGCCTATTTGTGTAGTCTGTCTTTTCCACTCGAACATGGTCTCCTGTGAGCAGGGAGTTGTGTCTCTGAAGTAAGGCCATATCCGCAGCACCTAGTACGGTGCCTGGAGCACAGTATGTGCTCAACAGTGTTTGTTAAAAGACTGAATGAGAACCACGAGAAGGAAGCAAAGATGCCGAAAGCCGCTGAGTCTGACTCAAGGGTGGGGTCAGAAAGGCTCTCGAAAAGAGGTCACCTGAAGTTGAGTCTTACCGATGTGAATGTCAGGAGTGGAGGATGGCACTCCAGACAGAGGCTACCCTGAGCAGCCTGGCACAGTTGTGAGAGCACTATAAAGCGGTCGGTGTTGCTGGACCAGAGTGAGCACTGGGAAGCTATGGGAAATGGGCCTAGGTGGGTCACAACCTCTCTCCTCAAGAGCCGTGAACTTTAACCTCTAGGTGATAGAGACCCATGGAAGTTTTATTTATTTTTTTAAAGATTTTATTTATTTGACAGAGAGAGACACAGTGAGAGAGGGAACACAAGCAGGGGGAGTGGGAGAAGCAGACTCCCTGCTGAGCAGGGAGCCCGATGTGGGGCTCGATTCCAGGACCCCGGGATCATGACCTGAGCTGAAGGCAGACGCTTAACGACTGAGCCACCCAGGCGCCCGGAGTCATGGAAGTTTTAAAACAGAAAACTGACATAGGGCGCCTGGGTGGCTCAGTTGGTTAAACGACTGCCTTCGGCCCAGGTCATGATCCTGGAGTCCCGGGATCGAGTCCCACATCGGGCTCCCTGCTCGGCAGGGAGTCTGCTTCTCCCTCTGACCCTCCTCCCTCTCATGCTCT